TACTAAGACAGTGCTGTTTGGGCACCAGCTGAGACCAGAGCTTCCTGGTAGATTTATAGGTGCCTGAGACCTAATCACTCTTCACTGTTTGACCTGAGTGAATGCCGTACCTACAGAGCCATCAAGGTCTGATGTAGGATTTGGGAGGTAGCTTATCCCTACCCCCATCCCAAAGCTGACAGTTGGAAACCCCTCAGAAAGAGGAAGGCACCCGGCCAAGGCACCAGACCAGGGCTCCAGTCTACAAGTGCAGTCTCAAAGACAAATAAGCCCAGCAGGGCATTGTCCATGCCCAGCACTCTATACCTTTCTGGCTTTTCCTCCAGTCTTAACCCCAGGTCACCATTTTGTCCTGTCCATATTATCAGCATCCTGTGTTTGGCCCCTGCTATCGTCAACATGGACTTGGAAATCCCCCACCCCCACCTTCAGGTCAGCTTCTAGAAAGTGCACAGCTGCCTCTAATGTGAGCCTTGTACTCCAGTGGGGCCAGTGGGCCTCTCACCTTTAGAGTCCCCTTACCCTAAACCTTTGCCCAGCTTCTGACATTGGAACATGACTTTGTCATCTATAAAATTCATGCTCCAGAACTGTGAAATGAAGTTACAAAAAAATAATTAATAAATCACAAACCCCACTTCAGAATGCTTTAATTACATCTATGATTTTGTGTTGGGGCCGCATTCATAGCTGGCCACAGGCTGAGCATGCCGGCGTTAGAACAATGATTTACTCTAAAACTCCCACCTGAGGCAAGGTGGTGCCTTTATCTGCAGCCAGGGCACCCACATCTGCCCTTCTCAGTGACAGTAACAGGTCATGCACTCAACAATATCTATAAGCACCCATCTGTATCTCGACACCCTCACAGGGCCCAGATAGATGCCACCAATCTAGGATGGATCCCATGGGCAAAACCGGTGTTAGGCAGGAGCATCAGACATTCTATTATCTGTCTGTCTATCTAGCTATCATCTATCCACCTTTCCATCTAATCTCTCTATCTCTATTTTGAGATAGAGTATCACTATACATGCTTGGCTGGCTTGGAATTCTCTAACCATGAGCTCACAGAAATCTGCCTTCCTCTGCCTCCTGCATGCTGGTATTAAGATGTGGGCTGCCATGTCTGACTGCTTTCATTTTTTAAAAATCCTACCCATCCTCCAGCTCTGGCCATCTTCTCAGTCACCCTCCTCCACAGTCTGCTCATCTCCTCCACCCTGTCATACCCCCATTCCAAGCCTGCACATGAGAATGGGATTGCCAGGCCTGGGCTCCAGAGAGCAAGTGTCTCTGCCCATATCGGCTGTGAATGACACTCGTCTCCCTTCCAACAGGCCAGAAATCCACCCAGCCTCCTGCCTCCTACTGGCAGGACAAAGATCTCTGCAGAGGAGGTCTTCCTACAACACAACCGGTGCAAGACAGCTAGGAACAGTCTCCCTCTGACCCAGAAACAAGTAGCAGGGCTGCACCCTGCCCACAGGAATTAAGCAGAAGTCATCCATTCCCAGACTACGTCAGCAGCCCAAACCTTGCTGCTTAAGGGAAGCCTATGAAAACCCTAGGGCTCTCTATGCAAGAGAGCGTGCACTGTATCATAGATAACAACAGCTCCTAGAGGCCTCTCTCCTCATTCCTCATAGGCCTTTTCCTTCACCATTTGTCAGCAGGCTCTAGTCAACAGCTACAGGCTCAGAGCACTCAATGTCTCTAGTAAATACATCAGGAACCCTGGGCTTGAAGGTCAGAAATGATTTAACCCAGGAAGCACGGAACATCCAAAGCCCTGTGGATACCACTGTGGATTTGTGGACGTAAGCATCCCTGTAGTTGTTGTGACTAGATGCACGTGCCTTTCGCCTGCTGGTCCTGGGGCAGCATCCCAGGTGTCAGGTGTACAGAAGCCAACAAGGTGGGGATGGCAAGGTCTCCCAAGAACTTCTTGCCACAGGGCTGGGGAATTAGCATCCTTTGGTGATGGAGGGCTGGGAGCCCCTGTGTCACCTTGACATTGCAGCAGAACCTGTGTTCCATGTTGGAGTTCTGTTTAGCACCCAGATCTCTGCTTGGAGGGGCTGTGGCTACTATTTGACATGGCCAGAAGCAGAATGCAGAGCAATTAGGCCACTGTCTCACTTTCCTTCAGCTGGCCATGTCCCTGTTCAGACCTCTGTACCACAACACCTCAAGGGAGGTAGAATGTGCCAGAATTTAGGGATGCCCCTTCTGAATGTGTTGCTTCAGAGCCCACAGTACAGGCTACGGAGAACATCGTGGATAACAGTGACAACTGGAGTTTGGCCCTTCCTCCTCCGCCTCTCTTCCTCATATCCTAACCTTCCATCACACTCAGCATTTCAGTGTTGCTTCTTTCACTCAAAAATAATGGTTTGCAAGCCCGGTGGCTCAGGCCTGGGGTTCCAGCCACTAAGGAGACTGAGGCTGGAGGACTGCAAGTTCCATGCCTGTCCGGGCTACAGAGCAAGGTAAAGGACAGTCTGGACACCCAGTTAGACTCTGTCTCAGAATGAAAGAGTGAAATGAAAACACTTAGCTCAGGGGCACACTTCTCTAGCAAGCCTGAGATCTTAGGTTCAATCCCAAGTCAGAGAAAGAACAGGGGAGAGGAGAGAAGGGAAGGGAAGGGAAAGGAAGGGAAGGGAATGAGAGGGGAGGGGAGGGAAGGGAAGGAGGTTCTCCATGAGAAGGTAGGAGGGGACTCCTGGATAACATAGCACAGCACAGCACAACATAGCATAACATAAACCATGCTGGTGGGAAACATCCTGAAGCTAGGTTGTAACCACTGCTCTCTGTTTTGATTTTCATCTTGTGCTGTGATTCACATCTAAGCATCATCTTCCTGAAGCGTTATCAGCCTTTTTTCTTCCTCCCCAGATTCTGGGGGCATTGCTAATCTGGCAGAGGCATCACTTTTGAGGAAAAGCTGGGCTGCCCTGTCCTACAGCTCCACTCCACACACCTGAACCTTAGCAGCAGGCCCCTGATGCTGGTGGCAGCCTCTGGTTCCCATGCTCCATCCCACAGACCATAGTTCACTCAGAGCGAAATGTTTTCAAACACAAACCACAGTTGAGGGGCCAGTCATGGACTCCTGAGGGATAGTGGAGCCCAAACAATGACTGGGGTGCCTCTGTTTGGCTGACAGGCTTCCCGTGCAGGTCTACAGTTGGGCTTGGGAAGCTGAGCGCAACCCCACAGCCCCTGACAACAGGGAGGGCTCAAAAATGTAAATCCAACCAAAAATAACAGACAGATGAAAAATGCAACAAGGAGCAGGAAACACAACGTGGTCCTGAAATAGATGGAGGATCAGAGAGAGTGGCAGAGGCCTCCCTCCTGTGTTCCAGAAAGTTCAAAGACAAGTTTCCCCAAGAGTATTCGTCATGTGACCACTTCTGCTCTGAGGCAAGATGAGCACGGCTCTTTTAATTTAGTTTTGAACTTTTTAGTTTGAAAAATATTCAAGGATTATGGAAAAAATGATGGTCACCAGAACCAAGACACTAACACTGGTACAGTGGCACCGGATTCGGATCTGTAACTTTGCTGCCTATGTTTTTGTGACCCTGTCAGTCTTGATTAATACAGTGGAGAATGAATGCCCTTGGTTTACACCTCTATAGTCTTTTCTACGACTGGGCTATGTTGCAGGTTTGGGGAAGGAAGTGCATGGTGACAGGAATTCACAGCAACAACACGACTAATCTCTGGTGCAGCGAATCTGGGTAACTTGGCTAAGCTGCGGTCTGCAAAGTCATCCTATACAGCTACTGTTTCTGCCTCCCCTACTCTGGGCCTTGTCCCCCTCAGGGTCGGGGGAACCAGCCCTCCCTCCTGCAGACATGTCAAGAGAATTCCCGGACAGTTCCAGCTCATGGTAACACAGGTTCTTTGTTGGAGTGGGCCAGTGAGTACGAAATGACCAATTACAAAGTGAATAGAGAAGCTTAGAAAGGCTTTAAAATTGTGTGTGCACATGTATGGGTATTGTTCCTCAGGAGATAACCACCTTTGTTTGTAGTTTGTTTAGACAGGATCCTCACTGAAGTAAAGGTCATGAAGTAGGAGAAACTAGCTGGCCAATGAGCCTGTCTCCACCTTCCCAGGACTGAAATTACAAACTCGTGACGACATGCCCGAGTTTGCGCATGTATGCCAAGGGTCAAGCTGTCCTTATGCTTTCAAACAAGCACTTTACTGATGGAGCTATTTCCATAGCCCAAGACCACTAAAAACAAATTCTTTCAAGAAAGCCTGGCGTGGTGGCACAGGCTTTTAATCCCACCACTCTGGAGGCAGAGGTAGGCAGATCTCTGAGTTCAAAGCCAGCATGGCCTACAAAGTGAGTTCCAGGACAGGCGGGGCTATGCAGAGAAACCTGCTTGAAAAACCAAAAGCCAAACAAAACAAAAATATCCTCTCAAAGCATGCTATCAACTACTTACTCTTTCCTCAGTTTGCCTTTACTAACAAAACATTATCTTGGCCAAAAAGATCATTATAAAATCAGTTCTGTCATATTGCCCTCTGAATATCTGAAAAGCTGGACGATGTCATTCAAAAATAAAGAGACAGCAACAAGCGACATTGACCTTGAGCCAGATGGTGCACATGCTACTGCCAGCTTCACTGGACTCTGTGTAGCAGTTCCAGCTGCCTTCCGTTCTAGGAGGCTGGGGAACTTGCCTCTACCCCCACACCTGGTCTGCATGTGGGAGGAGGTCACACCCACCTCCTCCCACAGCTCGGGCCCTCTGTGGGACTTTCACTACCCTTTCCGTCTTGGCGCCTCAGACACATGATCTACTCTGAATGGATGAACTTATCCATAGCCATAGCATAGAGCACGCGGATTCCATGTATAACACCCACAGCAGCGACCCTGCCCACTCGTTCATCCTGGAGGCCTCAGAGCACTGTTCACACCACATAGAGAAATGAACTGCTCAGAACGCAGCTGACAGACGTACCTTTCAGGGCTTCAACAGCTTCTCATCATGGCTCTTCAGATCCCAGGGTGCTTCTGAGTGAGGAAACTTCTAGCAGTAACCAGAAATCTCTGGACCCAGTTAAGAAAAATCAATCCCATCCCCAGAGGGATTCTTCTCATCTCAGTAATCTTTGGTCGCTCACAGCTTCCTGCCAGCAGCACACAGAGGTGTGTGTTTCCCCCCTGTTGTGGTCAGGCCTCCATCAGCTGCCCCCGAGAAGCAGCTCAATGTGAGCGCCACCCTCCAGCCAAGTCTACTGGGGACTTCTGGCTCCTCAGACCCAGAGATGCTTCTGAGTAAGTTCCCTGGACACCCAGCCTTCAGCCATGCTGGTCATGATGTCCCTCCACCGCCCCAAAGTTTTCTCATGGGTTTTGGTTTCACCACGTGGCTGGTGCTTTCCCTCAGATGGTACGGCAGGGTTAACACACCCCCCGGCTAACTCTAGGAAGTATTTTTCAGTGGCCACCTGTGGAAACTAGGGAGGTGTCCTCTCAGTCCTTTGCTTTTTAAATGATGCTAATATTAGTGAGATCACAGGATGCTATGCCCATTCAATGGCAGAATGGGTGTGACTAAAGTGTATGGAACTGATGCTCAGTAAATATAAATGGCCCACATTTGATAGTGCTGCAGCCAGTGTGTGATTCTGGTCTCAAAGGCTCTTCAAATGACCATGCTACTTGGCAATGGAACTCAGAGAAGAGAGAGTGAGGTGATGGGAAGGATCCTAACACCACGGTTGGGCATATCCTTCCCCACATCAGGCAAGGGGCAAATGGGACCAAGAGGGTTGCTGAAAGGACCTGCTGGCCCAGCAGTTATCATGGGTCACTGATCACCCGTGCATCCAGGCATCGAAGGGAACCGGTGGTCTGGGAGCTTTGATGAAGTGTGACATCAGCCTGCCAGTTTCTACACCACAGCCCATGTTTCCTTCCTGGGAGCTTCCTTCCTGGGAGTTCCAGGCTAAGACAGTGTTCACTGCAAGTCCTTATAGGAAAGAGCTAACAAATGTTCTTTGCAGCAGGATTGAAGTGCTTGGGTTCTAAGCACTGTTACTTGTCCCCAAAGGTTGGGGGGGGGGGCGCTGGCTTCAGGTCTGAATGTTCCTATCACAGTATTTAGGACAGAGTAAACAGCTGGAGTGTTCAGCTGCAGCAGCACATGTGTATGGAAAACCAGAGGGACATCTCAGAACGTATTCCTCAGGTGTTTTGTTTTGATTTTGCAAGGTTACTCATTGGCTTAAAACTTGACAAACAGGGTAAGAAGGCTGGCCACTGCACCCCAGGAATCCTCCTGTCTCCACTTTCTTCAGGCAGGAATCACAACCACTCAGCAGCTTTTGTTTTAAAGTAGGTTCTAAGGACCAGGCTTGGATTATTCATGGTGCAAAAAAGCACTTTACCAACTGAACAGAGAATGTTTGGACAGCTTTTGTGCACTTGAACCTGAGGTTAGGAAGAATACACTGTTCATCCACCCAGAGACAGAGCGGGAGAGTTCACTGAGATTCCAATTTGCTGGCTGTAGATTATGGCCTTTGTCTTAGTTTAGCCTGAGAAAAACTCACCCTGTGTTTGCCACAGAGATTGGACTCTGGCTCTCTCTCTCTCCCCCCCCCCTCTCTCTCTCTCTCTCTCTCTCTCTCTCTCTCTCTCTCTCTCTCTCTCTCTCTCTCTCTCTCTCTCTCATGGATTCCAGCAGCCACTCAGAAAAGAACAAGGAAATGATGCTGGTGTTGGCTTCAGATGTCTGAGCAGAAGTGAAAACTGACTTCAGCCATTTTTGTCCTCACAAAGTCACAGGGCCTCTAAGAACATGGGTGGGAAAGAGATGATGGTAAAGGATGCGGGGTTAGACGGGTATCCTTTGTCAGACATTGTAGGAAGTCAGGGAGCCTCAAAGAGGTCTTTTCGGGGCAGGGCTGAGACCAGACCCTACTGACTCTCCCAGCTCTGTGTTCAGCCTGACAGCCTCCCTCTGTCACTTTCCCCCATTTATTTTTATGAATTTGAGGTGACTTATGCAAAACTCAGGGCTCTCTTTCCATGACTCTACACCAACCTCCTGGTAAACTCGAAAGATGTGAGCAATAGAACAGTTGAGTGGAAAAAAATTAAGATAATCTAACCCAAGAGCCACCTCCAAGTGTGTGAGACCTTGGGTAGTTCCCTTTTAATGGCAACAAGTATACTATTAGAAAAAATTGTCAACAAAACAAATATAAAGAACAACCATTCAGCTCCCTGGAAAATGACCCATTATTAAGAACTTCTATTGTGCCAGGATGACCATTACTCTGTGGCCTTATTGAACTGCCCACCCTGCAATGTGCTATCTTGGATAAGGAAATCATAGATTTGCTAGTACCTGTGGTGGGCTTGGTCCAAAGGCCGATGGAAACTGGTGGCTGTAACAGGTAGAGGAAGAAGATTTGGCTTGGGGGGTAGAGAAGAATTTCTGAAGTTTATGGGTTCAAGGTCATATGTTCAGTCAGACAAGAAGTGGGAAAGACTAGTTTTCCCAGCTTAAGTTTCTAGCTTTGGCCCAGGGTAGAAACTCAGCCAGAACTGGAAGATCCTTCAGGCAAGGTGGCTATGATGAAGTCCAGATAATAAAATCTCTACACACATCCAGTGGATTGCTAACACAAGCATAAGTGCAGTGGGGGGGGGGGAGACCCAAGAGACTACAGCCAAAAGTGAGCTCAAAAGGGAGATGAGGGGGTTGCTGTACAGCTGTTTCTCCATCCACACTCAGCTTGGGCAGCTCTTCTCCTCTCCTGTGACCACTGTTTTGTTTTCTTGATTGTCCTGGTGAGAATATGCATGCTTCTGCCATTGCTCAGTAAACTGTATATATATCTATAAAGGCTCAAAAATGTTTACAATTTCCCATCTGATGCTCTAGCTGGTTTTGAGGGTAGGCTATCAAGGCCTTCAACTATTACTATATTGGTATCCATTTCCTTCTCCAGTTCTACACATATTTCCTTTATACATTTAGATGCTCTGATCTTAGATCAGATATGGCCATATTCCTTACATCTCCCGGGCATTATATATAAAACTTCATTTTATCTAAAGCCCATTTCATTTAACAAACAGCTACTCTGCTTTCTCTTGATTACCTCTTGCCTGGGATATTTTTTCCAATTTTGTTCCTTCATTCCAGCCTATAAATAACCCTTCAGTTTGAAGTATTTAATGGTCATGTTTGGTCCTTTGACTATGTCATCTCAGTCTCCTAGGCTGCTAAGTTTTTACTAAGAAGTGTGCTTATAGTGTCACAAGGCTACTGTATGTGATTCCTTCCTGTCCAGAAGGGACAGTGAGAGCTTCACTTCTAAGGGAGTACAGTGGGGTAGGCTCTGGGCAGCCCTATCAACTTGGGGTTAACGTAAGTCTTCAGTAGCAAAAGCTGTGAGTGATCATGACAATAGCAAGGGTGCTAGGGATTCCCAGGGGATCCCAGGACATTCTTCTTTAAACATGGGAGAAAGTCATGGCCAAGGAGAAGCCTCTTGGCACTGAGCTGCTTTACTGACCTGGGACTGGGACAATGCACCCAGAATGCTTTTCATGCTCTGCTTGCAGCCAGTCTCAAGTTACATGCTCCACTGTGGGCTCACAGCCTCCTAACTGCACTCCAGAGCTCTCTGGAACCTATTTTCATCTGTGGTTGTTATGAAATCACTGTTTTTGTGGATAAACAAAGGGTGGGGGCACCCAGGCTGCCATCTTGCTGACATCATCTCACCTCTATTTCATTTCTTAAATGTTAGCTTGGCCAACTAAGTGGATTTTCAATACTTCTCAAGCCACTGGCTCCATGGAGCAAAGACTCTATGGCTATGTGGAATTTCTGGAAAAATACAGGTGGTTGCAGGCCATGGCAGCAGGCATGCACGCAGGGTAAAGCTGGGGTCCCAGTTTACAAACTGGTCAGCTGTGACAGTCCCACTGTGTCCCCCAACTATCTGAACCTCAATTTCCCTATCTTTAACATTAAGACAACAAAACCCAGGTCTTGGGGTTCTTGTGACAATGGGTCTTTTAAGTAGCTGGTCCCTAATGTTCATTACTTCTTTTAAATATCACAAGCCCTGACACATGGGACCTAATGGGCTTCTGGTAGCTAATAGCTTGGAACTTGCCTAGCCTGCTTGAAGCACATTTCCTTGCCTTAAAATGTGGATGATGTTAACATCGATCTTCTAAGGTTTCCAGGTCCCTAGCATGATGTCCCCTCAATGTATGTTAGAGGTGACTCACACCTGTGCCCCATCTCTCTGTGACTGCTTTCTTGCAGAGTTCCACCAGCCTGCTCATTTCCAGCTGCCACTAGTCACAAAGCTGAGGCTTTCCTGGCCATGACAACTGTCTGTACTCACATAGAAACTCCAACTGAGTAGTAAAGGTCCTCCCACTTTACCTCAAGTCTTCCCAGGGAATTTTCCTGGGTGTATACTACTCTAGACCCCAGGCTCCATCACCAACCTCACTTGGAAGGACTAGCCTATATCCTGAAGGACAATCACAGCATCTGAACAGTGTGAGTCCTCTCCACTCCTTCCTCTAGGCAGCAAATCCCACGAGTCCCTCTCCAGCAGGATGTGTGCAGACCCTCTTCTGCCCATCTTCATGGCTAGGTTGGGGCACTGGCAGCCTAGACAGTCATCTCTGACCAATTCTCAAGCTCTTCTCCTCTCCTGTGACCACTGTTTTGTTTTCTTGATTGTCCTTGTTAGTCCCTAGAAGGACTTGTAAAGAGACTTTGCTCATTGGCTTGTTTGATTGCTGTTGCCTGACTACACACGCTAGGATAAAGGGTAAGACCCATGAGAAGGGATAGACTGTCTTTCCTGCCACCGTACCTGTAGTAGCCTCCAGCAGTCACAATTGTCAAGTGACTGAAGGAGTTGTCATATCTGGGTTAAGGAAGGCTTCAAGTCAAAAGCCAGGAAGCAGTTTCAAGAGACTGAATTCCAGGCTTTCCATCTGCAGGCCACTCTTCTTTTCTCTCCAGCATGTGCTTCTTGGAAAACCCTTTCCAGACCTCCATTCCACAATCCCACTAATGATGGCTTTTAGAGCAGCGGTGCTGGGTGCTTCCAAGTCCTGAAGGCTGAGCAGCCTGCCACAAACTAAGCTTTCTTAGTAACTCAAAGGTCAGAAGCCTTTACAGTTCAGGCACTGCAAGCCCCCTGAGACCCTAGAGGATGTCCTGGCTGCAGGGTGGTCTTACAGGCCTTGGTGCCCAGGAGGTCTTCCCATGGCAGCTGTAGATGGTGGTGGTGAGTAAGGTCACTCCACATGACACCAAACACATACAGGAACAGGCTGGATCAGGGATTGGGCTGGGCAAGCACAGTGGTTTCAGGAGTTAGCATGGTGGGTTCTCTC